CTGTCCATAGACTATGTAATTACAGAGCCTGTGAATAGAACGGGAGAGACCGAAAACCTACATTTACTTTTCACCATTTATCTTCTGTGTTAAGCTTGGACTACACTCCTCTGTGTTCTTAAATTTAGCCCAGCCATTCTTTATTTAGATTGAGCAGTTCTTTAAATATACCCATGTGCAGTGCCATTAACCAGCATACCCCAAGAAACCAAAGGCAGCAGATTTCGTATTATGTGTAACAGGGTTTGGTCTCAATCAGGAGAATGTGTAAGGAGATGTTTAGCAGGCCATTCCCAACATGTGCTCTTGCGTATGTGTGTGAGAGAGAAAGAGAGACATTATACGAATAAGATGTATTTAAAGGCACAGTCCATCAAAAATGTTACAACAAACTCAAGCATTTACTAATTTATTTTACTTACCTAATATAAATCTTATTGATCCAGAAGAATTGTTATAGAACATATGAGACATTTGAACAGCTTTTTGGCTGCTTTTTGAGAGAACAGACCACTATTTAACTGCTCTTTTAACACTTGGGAGATTCTGTAGGCTTGTGTTGCATAAATGAAATATAGACTTCATTGTATTGCTAGCGCTCAGTTTTTCCTTCAGTTAGTCAGTGGGTTAGTCATAAAAGTCAGGCATCAAGGGTAATGTCCCAAAAGTATAGACACAGTACTCCCACTTCTTTATCGGCCCTTCAGATACCCTCTGCTATTGCCTTTTTAAGGTAAAGATATAAACTGTGATGATATGTAGGCCTAAGTTAAAATATGTATCTAAGTTATACGTTAGAGCAGATGAGACCCCAAACCTCTCATATTTAAAGCTGAAATGTTATGAAAGTGGCAGATGTAGGAATGAAGTCAATAATAGTTTATTGTGCTTGAATAGGTCTGCAAGACTACTAGCTTTATTTAAAAAAATATTAAATGAGCTGTTGTTTCAATTATTTCTTTAAATATTTGAATATGATATTATACTATGTACTGCTAGAATATTTCTGATAATATTATTACATATTATACACCACAGTTTGGGATCAGTAAGATTTTTAAAGAAGAAATTAATACTTTTATTCAGCAGCGATGCATTAAAATAATTAAAAGTGACACTAAAGACATTTACAGTATAATGTTTCACAATATTTCTAATTTGAAATAAATGCGGTTCTTTTGAACTTTCTATTCATCAAAGAATCTTGAGGAAAAACCTGTATATACATAAAAATATTAAACAGCAACATTGTGTTCTATTTTTTACTTTTACAGTTATAAATGTTCCTTGAGCAGAAATCATTCTAATGGTGTGTGCACACTAAAAGCGAAGCAAATATTTGCATTGCGTTACTCTCTCTAGATTACTCGCAGGATGTTTTTCGCATTACTCACAAGAATAAAAACCATTTTCTGATACAACCGGGTTTGTCAAACTGGACATGTCAATAAGCTCTTCGCTGATTGGCTTGCGCGACAATGCGTCATGCGAATTTTCCGCTGGTGTTGAAATTTTGCAACTTGTGCAGAAGACACGATTGAGGCGAACATTGCGCGTTCGAGGCAAAGGCGTCACCCAATTCGTGTCGTTCACTTTGCCAGGCACAAATTCGTGTCTTTTCAATGGTAGTGTTAATGATAGGGTTATTAATTATCTTTATGTTAAATTACATGTGCTTGTTTTAAATAATATTCATGAGCTAAGCCTTTGCCATGTTGTGATGTTACAGCCAACACATCTGTGTACCTCCCACCCTCAAACAGTCCCCAACAAACGGTGACGCGGACGGAGAGATAACTCACTCGGGTGTGAAGTGTGAGGAAGTTTAGCACCCACGTGAAGCTTTCAGGGGAACTTTGAAAAAGACCCAAGTAGAGCAAAGCTGTGAGGTTGTTTTCTATTAACTTCTGGCACATTGTGGTGGAAGAAGTCTCATATTTTGACAAAAGAGATGAGAGGCGGGCTAAATGAGAAACTATTTTACTCAATTGTTGTGACTTTTGGTGATTTAGAAAAATTTCAACCATATTAAACCAAATCCGCAGGGCTCAACCCAGCTTACATGCCTTACGGTCCCCGATTGTTGTCCAAAACGTCAGTTTCATCCAGAATGTTGATCCATGTTCACATTATTGCCATTCTCCACATTCCTCTGAGCGACAATACAGAGGCTCACATACGCTTGGAATTACACGTCGTCCAATCAGGAGAGAAACTGACGCACCAGTTGGCAAAGTTGACCTTGTAAATCATTCCATCAGCATGAGCGTTTTCTGCTTAATTATGAACACATGTCACTCAGTCTCTCTGAATAGACCTGATGTGTGATTACACAACCTGCTGCCATCTGATAGGCCGCTACACAACCTGCTGCCGTCTGATAGGCCGGTGAGAATGATGTCATAGCAGCTGCCAAATACCCCAAGCACCCCCCAAAAATCGAACGTTTAACCCCTGCGATGAGTACAGTTCTCAGTGGCTATAAAAGTTATAACTCAAGGACTCCTTCCAAACCTGTACAAGCTTGTGGTTTGTTTATCATAAAAGCTTCTGCTTAATCACCTACCTGTGTTTTTGCATGTATTTTAAGTGGAATTTCGATCTCTCTGTATTGAAAGGGAGCTCCTCCAATACTGCGTGCTCTTTTGCAAGCCCTTTGTTGTTAATAAAGTGTTGGAGTGCTTTCACACTTCTCTGGCAAGTGCAGAGCGCTGCGGGGCAGGGGGGAGCCACAAACACCAAGCCAACCCCATCTGTGTTCATTTGACTGGTGAGAGAGAGAGACTTGCTGATGGAGCTGTAAAAATGACCTGCTTTTTTTAGTAATGAGATTTTGGCCTAGAGAGAGAGAGTGGGACAGCAGTAGACTCTGAAAGAGAAGCTAAAATGAGTGAAAGTGAGAAACTTTGGGGAGCACAGAGAACCGCACCCATAGCTGCTCCTCTCCTCTCATCGCACAGTCTGTCTGTCTTGTCCCTGTCAGTATGGCTCAAACTTTCCATTTACTCGCACTTAGACTGGCTTTTGGCTTGTGGAATATTGTATTCTGGCACAGAACGGACCACAAAATTTTACTTAGAAATTGCTAATTAATTGGTGTATTTTTTTTCTCGATCTCCACTTGTGGCTTTGCAGAAAACCCTGAAAAATAGAGGAAAATGTGTTAGAAAATTAAATGATGTGATGTAAATGATGTGATGTTAAAGGGTTAGTTCACCCAAAAATGAAAATTAGGCTGCGCTAATTTTCATTTTTGGGTGAACTAACCCTTTAATATTGCAACCTACTTGAACTATTAAAATCTGGTGTGTCCTTGAAATTATACTGATAACCACAATAACACAACAATGTAACTGTTGAATAAAATAACTATTTAAATAAAATCTATAATCAAATGTGATTGTATCATGCAGGAACTTCTGGGAGCGTTCAGGAATTTATTTTATTTATTTATTTTTTACTGTATAAATTATTAGTATTTAAATATAAAGTCTTATCTTTATAACTTACATTTCACCAATAATAGTTTTTTGCTGAAGCATTTTTATAAAATTTTTCATTTCAAATGATTTAAGATTATCATTTATGTATTATGTATTAGGATGATCATTTATGTATTAGATTATCTTAAAATCATTATTTAAACAAATATATATTATTTTTATTTATGGTCTGTGTTTCTGTTTGTTTCCCTTATAAAAAAAAATATGTAAAAATACTAGAAGGTGTGTGTGAACTTCCCTCTCTGAAACTCTTAGACATCCTTTACACCATTTTTTTTTTTCAGCCACACAAGTAGTGCAAAATGTAAAAAAAATAAATAAAAATGAAGCACCAGGTTTGTATCTCCTAACACCCCATGCAAGTACTCAGTCACACTGTTCTTTCCTTTTAGATGTTAATGTTTTGTTCCGTTCCCTTCAGGCAGCAACACACTTTGCCACTTTCAGTTAAACCACCATTTTATTAGTTAAACCATCTTCTTAAATTAATTAACAGGCTCAGTTCATAGCCATGTGCAGGCAAGAGAGGTTTGGAAAATGCTACAAACTATGTTTATTCTGACCAAATAATTTGTTGTGACTGTTAAGAGTCCTCTCAGTCAGAGTTATTATAGTTACAACTAAAATTTAAATAAAAAATATAATAAACATTAACTTAATATAAAATATTTTAAAACTTGCTGCTACTGTATAGTTGTCAACACAACATTTCTTATTTTCTAGTTTAATGTACTAGAATAACCAAAAATAAAACAGAACAAAAAAATTAATAAAAACGATATACATATATTTTAAAATAAACACAATAACTAATATAAATAACAACACAAAACAAAATTACCAAAACTTTAACTAAAATTAAAATAAAACCACAAAATATAAATAATTCAAATGAATAAAAACTGTAATTGTATCTTAATAATAATACCAAAAAACACTGCATGAGAAACTGACTAAATTTCACTTGTCATCCTGAGTGTAATGTTATCTTTATTTCTATCTGCTGTCAAACACAACCGGTTCAAATTTTGAATGTTCAGAGTTAGTATGTTCTTCCGATTCTCTCAATTCTTTCCTCTCTTAAATAACCACCGGTTAGACTGGATGATGTCCTGGAGGTAGTTTCCAAGCTGTTTCCGAAACATAATTTATCTACTCTACCAGCTTGTTTCCATTCCTGCCTGGAATATGGGTCTGTACTTTAGTCCATCCCGATATAGTCATGTCATAGATGTTCTGAGAGTCTGACTATTGAAAAGAGATGAAAAGCGTTCTTGTTTCTGAGTGTATATATTTACTTGAAAGGACTGTATGTGTGTGTATGTGTGTATGTTTTGAAATGTCACCTATTGATATATTTAGCAATATTGCACCACTGATACTGCAACACTTATGAGTGCACCTTTCTGACTGAGTGAGTCTGAGAAGGACTTTACTGTGTTACGACATATCAGCTGTGATGTTTCATTCTTAACTGTGTTGTTCCCTGTCTTTCAGAGTAAAGAACAGCAACTCCAGGCCTTAAACCAAAGTAACAAAGTGTTCCTGTACTGCGCCTTCCTGGACTACAGGTGGGTCTCACAGCTTCAAATATGTATGTATGCACACAAATGTTGATTTCATATTTACAATTATGTGTTTGTAACTTTGTAACTTCACAGGGATTATAGGTTGCCGTTTTTAAAGGTTGCAACTTTCTTGAACTATTATAATCTGTTGTGTACTTCAAAATATATACTGATAACCACCATAATAACAAAATGGCAATATTTAATTTAAATAATATGTATTTAAATAAAATATCAAGCCAAATGTTTTATTACTTTTTGTAATAAAAAGCAATTTTAAACCATAATAGTTATACCCGAAAAATCACTTAAAGCCAATAAACAAAGCCAATTTTTAGGATCATGTGAAAAATGTGAATAATTTGAAATGGAGCATGTTTGATTTGGATTGAGACTTTCTTGTCTTCTCTCTCTCTCATTCTTTTTCATGCTCGTTCACTCTTTCTCCCATGTGGGCATTTAATAAATGACTGCATTTATAATGGAATGATGAAGCTGGAATATTTGCTCTCACTGAGATTAATGGGGTCTTGCGTTAGTTTTGATTTAATTTAGATCTGATTTGATTAATAACTCGCTGGTAATTCCATTAACGCTGGGCGAGGGTGTGAATGTGTATGGTTTCAATATAAACAATGAATAACTCCAGCAACTGTAATGCTCAATTAAACCTGTATGTATGTGTGTGTTTCAGCTCCAAGGAGGGTGTGTGGTCCAATGAGGGGTGTGTGAGAGCTGATGGAAACCTGTCCTTCTCTATTTGCTTGTGTAACCATCTGACAAACTTCGCCATCCTTATGCAAGTGGTTCCCATGGAGGTGAGGCACTCTCAGTGTTGCTCTGTCTGGTGCTAGTTTTATTTTTTGCTATAGATGAATTATTATTCGTCTTGCTTACTTTGGCTAAATATTAATTTGATTCAAATAATTCAAGAACTTTGTAGCTCATTGTGTGTGGTTTTAGGTTTTACACAATTCTGTCTACATCCTCCATGGAACATTAAACTGATTAGTGTGACAGTAAAGACATTTATGTTACTATTTCAAATAAATGCTGTCCCTTTAGACTAGAAAAATCTTATCGACCCCAGACCATTGAACAGTACACTTTTAAAACAATTTTAATATTAATATTCTTACAATTTTTTTCTTTCTTTCTTTTATTTTTTTTTACAGTTTTGCAAATTACATTGTTAGGAATAACACATTTTACTGCTTTACTGTTCTATTTAGGCGCTTTCATTATTATTGATTCTGCAAAGTTTCACCATGAGAGCCCCATTTTAAGATTCAAAAAACAAGCATTCAGCATCAAAAAACACATTTTGAGACCTCTGTGATTTTCTCCATTCCATCTGTTATGAATGCAAGAATGCATTCAATCTGAATGGCCTATTTTAAATGAAAGTATGCAATTTATTTCTAATTTTGATGCAAATAGGATAACTGAATCCTGCCACAGAGATATGCACAAGCAGACATTGACATCTCTGCATATTGATCTTTTTTGCGTAAGAACATTTCTTTGAGATAGAAACCTTTTGTAACCATAGTAATCACTGTCACTTTTCATCAGTTTAATGCATCCTTGTTGAATAAAAGTATGTAAATATATTTCTTAAAAAAAAAATCGTACTGACCCCGCACTTGAGCAGTAGTGTTAGTATAACCTATAAATATGATGCTAAATATTATTTTCAAATTGGACCATGTTTCTTGTGTTTTTTTTTTTTTCTGATGAGGCACTATACTGCAACATTATTCTAATCAAAAAACGACTTATTTACTCATTCGGTCTGACTTACTAAGCTTATCTAAGCTGTATATGTCAAGAAATATGCACGTATAATACAAAACTGGCAGTGAACCCTGACGTTAGTGGAATTTCTCAGGATTCCTTGATTGAGCATGTAGGTCATTTCCCAGCAGGGATCTCTGAAAACACCAAGGCACTGCGATGAATGCGATGCTAGCTGTGTTTCTCGTCTTTAGCGAGCCAACAGCATGCAGGGCTTGAGTTTTGATTGGCCGAAACTCTCAGTAAATCAGCAGCAGAGCTTTAAGCGAGAAGACAATTTGGACGTTGTTAAGACACTTCTCCAAGGGTGACGTGCTGGATTTTGTTTCAAGTTCATTCGAAACCCGTCGTTGTGTGTGAAAGCGTCTCGAGAGAGGCCGCTGGTCACAGGCTGCCAGTGCGGGTCGAAGACTGTGGGCTCTTTTTGGGCGGACAGATGGATTGTCATTTGTCAGAGAAAGCTTGTAAATAACATCTGCCTTTGAAATACTGAACGACAGGCACAGCTTGATATTTTGGTAACCCTTGTCCTGTTGATTTATTTAAAGAGAGCTGAAGAGTGAATTTAACTCAGGCTAAAGACCCTGTCAGCAACAACTACTCGCAAAGTAGGGACATGTTTGTGAAGAGACATATTGCTTCACACGAAGGCAGATTGCCATTTCGAGATCCGTGCACAAGCCAAACCAAGGCACCCAGGTGCAGCTTGGCTCTTCTGCGTCTATCATCTGCATGTGTTTGTTGAGAAAATCTGTCCTCGCTCAGTCATGTAATCATCTCCTCTGGAGCTTTGATGCTAATATCCGCCTCTGCCTGGGCCTCAGTTAGCGGCTCACCTCAATACTTCAAGCCTGGAGGAGATCGTGCTTTCTCCACCACTCCGCAGATCCTCGATATTCTGGGCCCACGATAATCACAAGGCAGGAAACGGAGTTAATGTACGATCGAACCCACGCACGGAAATAGAATTATGGGGGAAAACAACTGCCAATGGGTCCGGCGTGCAGACGCAACACTGAGTACCAATTACTGGCACTGGGTCAGAGGAACCGTAACAATACAGCTCTATATCCTGACGGATGTTCGGGAATAAATCTGTTCGCTCTTTACCAACAGATGCTTAAGGTGTCGTAGCATGGAAATCTTTCCACCTGTAGTGTTAGTCAAGGGTTTTTGCGCCAAAAATGGTGATGCTTTCTTTTTTATCACCATTTTACACTCTCTGTCTACTTACAAAATCGAGTTGTTTTGTATCATTTATGAAACAACCAGTACTTAAAAGCGCATATTAAATTGGCCAAGCCGTGAATTCAGCAAATGTTTTAGTAGTAATATTTTTTGTTTGATTGTTCACTAAGGCTGCATTTATTTGATCAAAATACTGTAAAAACAATAATATTGTGAAATGATACTACAATTTAAAATAACTTTTTTCTATTATAATTATTTTATAATGTAATTTATTCTTATGATGCCAAGCTGAATTTTCAGCATCATTACTCCAGTCTTCAGTGTCACATGATCCTTTAGAAACCATTCCAATATGCTGATTTGCTGCTCAACAAACATGTCTTATTATTATCAAATAATTAGTGTTTAGCTGATTAGTGTTTTTATGAAAACTGCAGTACATTTTTTTTCAGGATTCTTTGTTGAACTGAATGTTCAAATCTTATTTTTTATTACTTTTTTATTAAAATTGAAACTTACATTTGAAATGTCTTTACTGTCACTTTTTGTTTAATTTAATGCATTGTTTCTGAATAAAAGTATTAATTTCCTTAATTTGTATTATTGACTCAAATCTTTTTAACAGTTAGTGTATAACAGGTTCCAGAAAAGAGAAATATTGAGGATTAATGTGTATAGAGACTGAATACAGAGATAGTTGTATGCATAAAGGCTGTTACTGTTCATCTTTTTTTAACCGTCGGTCTACCATGTCTGTGAATAGTTAGTGCTCTTTATGAAAAAATAAAAAAATAAATAAAAAAGCTTGTTCCAAGAATTGACTTGATTGATTGTCAGACTCATGCAGGTTTGTTCTGATGAAATGATCTTGAAATTGCCAAGTCATTTAATATTATGCGAACATCAATCCCTGTGCAGCTGGTCATCAGTAACCTTTGACTTTACAATCAGTGGACTGTTGCTGTGGTATTCAGTGTTTCTTATTTGTAGTAACATTGAGGGTTTTCAATGCCTTTAACCCCCTTCAGTGCTGTACACTAGACTAACTTCAGACATTTTCATCATCTCATTGCCTGTGCTGTCATGTTTGTCTCCACCTCAGCTCTCAAAGGCCCACAAGGTGGCGCTATCCACCATTAGCTACATCGGCTGTTCTATCTCTATTTTCTGCTTGGCAATTACACTGGTCACCTTTGCCGTCCTGTCGTAAGTATCCCACAATGCTCTGTGAACATGCATGATTTTAATCTACTATTTAAACATGGTCAAAAATGTTTTATTCACATTGCTAAACTTCTCATTTTCTTTTTGATTTATTAAATATAATAATTTGCAATTTCAATGAATTGAACACTAAAAGCTTTTAATGTTTCTGCATCATTACTATTAAAAAATGTATACTTTTTTTTACTGTGCATACAGGTCGGTTAGCACCATCCGTAATCAGCGTTATCATATTCATGCAAACTTGGCATTTGCGATCTTAGTCGCTCAGATACTTCTGCTCATCAGTTTCCGCTTCAATCCCAGCACGGTGAGTCCATCTAACACTCTGTCACAGGTTCATCTTTATTCAGCCATTTTGACTCAAAGGCCCTCCGTTGTCCAACACAATAATAGATAACATAATAAGAAGAACTGTATATTCTTCAATTACAAATAATAGTTGTATAGGGAAAATAAAAAGAAATTGATTTCATGTATTTTTGTTTTTGTTTTTTTAGAATTTGCATTTAGATTACTTTAATATCTTATAATTAATAATAAACTTAATAATTCTAATAATAATAATCTTTAAATAATCATTTATTAATTTAAATACTTTTAAGTCATCCTTGTCATATCATTAAGTCCAGTATTATTTTAGTATTATTTATATACTGTTACATTTTTTCTTAATATAGGGCTTCTTTTTTTTTTACTCTAAATTATTTATACTCAATATTCATTTTCATTTTAGTTAATTTTTTGTCAGTTTTGTTATGTACTTTTTTAATGTTACTGGTTTAATTTAGTTTATTTTAGTCTTAGCTCAGTTTTCGTTGTTATTTATTTTATTTCCTGTTAGTAATTTTAGTGCGTCAACTTGGAAATGTTGCATTGGTAACTAACTGAAAAAAGTTTAGGTTTTCCATCTAACATTTATATTTTATTTTATTTCAGCTTCATTTTAAAGTTTTAGTTCAAAAATAATAATTAACAAAAATCATTTTCGTTCCAGTTTTAGTTAATGATAATAACTAATTAAGTCATCCTTGTTAAGAGTACGGTAGCCCAGTAGTGCACAACACAACAAAATCTCCACAACACAACAAAATTAGCACAACACAATGGAAACAAGCTGCAACACAGCGAAATTAGCACAACACAATGAAATTAGCACAACACAATGGAAAAAAGCCACAACATGGCGGAAACAAGCTGCAACACAACAAAATTAACACAAAACAAACCACAACACAACGGAAACAAATCGCAATGACAAAATTAGCACAACACAACGGAAACAATTCACAACACAGTGGAAACAAGCTACAACACAATGAAATTAGCACAACACAACGGAAAAAAGGCACAACACAACGAAATTAGCACAATTAGTGTTGTGTTGTGGTGATTTCGTTGTGTTGTGCACTACTGAGCCACTGCATAGGAACCACTGTAGAGCGCAGTTCTGCACTAAAACAACAGTGAAAAAAATGTAACTAAAATAAAAATGAGAGTATCCACACAAATATTGTTGGAAGAAGCTTGATTATGAAATGTTCGAATTAAATCAACATCCCATTTACAATACGTGATTGTGTTTAATCGTGTTTGTTGTTTAATGGTGATTATTGTATCATCATCAGTATCAGAACCAGCATGTTGTCATTACATAAAGAAATCTAATAAGGTGGAAAGAGCCGATGACTCCACTAATCTCCTAACATGCCTCAGGCATTACGGACAGATTCATTTGATACTCCGTTAATTTGATTGTGCTTCCTCTGTCTGAGCACTTGGCTGAAATCTTGCTATGTTAATGTCAGTGTTGAGATCACTGAGCTCAACCACTCTGTCGCCCGTATGTTTATTTTAACAACATGTGTTACATTAGCTAAGATGAACAAAATAGATCCGTTTTCAGTACAGTGCATTTTGTCTAGACGCTTGTCCTGATCTGAAAGGCCTCAGCAAATGAAACTGTCCTCTCTCTCTCCCAGCTCCCGTGTAAGATCATGGCCGTATTGCTGCATTTCTTCTTCCTGTGTGCATTTGCCTGGATGCTGGTGGAAGGGCTGCATCTCTATAGCATGGTGGTCAAGGTGTTCGGCTCAGAGGGCAGCAAGCACTTTTATTACTATGCAATCGGATGGGGTGAGTACAACATCTTGCAGACTGGTTCTGAGCGCTAGGTGTGGAGAATGCAGCAGACCACCACAATCTGCCATACTTTATTGGCACTCTATGGCATCACTGATTCATATGCGTACACAACATTTTTTCAGTGGCACTTTTTAGTGAATTTGTCCCTTGTATACACACACATTCATATAAACTACACACTTCATCACACACAGACAAGCTTGAACTGACTTACAAATCATCACATGCTGAGAAGAAAACATCAGATCAGTTTCATTTGCCTTAAACGACCAGATTCAGCGTAACGCACAAACCCAAGAGAGTCAAATGAGGTTGTCCCATGGCAGGCATTAGAGAGAGATCAGGCACCTCCCTCAGCCATGACTGATGTGGCAGTGTCGTTGAAAAGGGGAGGAAAAGAAGACATTTGTGCGCTACAGTTTTTCTGAGATGTCAGTAGATTAAAGGACATTAAATCTTCAGTGGGTCATCAATAATGATGCCGTCACTGTTATTAACTGACCTGATCTCAAATGTGCATATGTGATAATAGACAACATGTGCTCTCTCGCTCTTTTGAGAACAGTTTATAATCAGCCTTTTTTTTCCTCACATAAAATGACATTGCCAGAGCTACAAGGGGCCTTGAAGTAAATCAATATACACTTTTATTAGTACATGCAAAGTTGGCATCATGATAACTGAAGGTGTTTTCCATTATTACATATGATAAAAGGTTGAATAAATAGACCTGTTTATTTGTATCCATAGTGACATGGGTGATAGGCTCGGTGTGGATGAAGAAAACAGGCTTTGTTAAACTTAAGTCATTACTTCAGACTGAAGTCTACTCCCTTTCTAAAAGCCTTCGGCACAGTCAGGCTGCTCTTTATTTATGGTGGCACGAAACAACCAGCTACAGTCCAAAAGTTCTTATTTTAGTTCCTACGACATAATCTGAAAACTTCTATGCTGGGTTTTACAACAAGGTATTTTTAGCTCCAATATCGTTCCAGGTTTTTTCCCACAAACATTTGTCTTTTTGCACGTCATTCATATATAACAAAAACATATGGTTAGAGGGAGAGAGGGATTTGACAACACTACTAAGCTATTAACTCTTTATACTGTATATTATAGTATACGCTTTATACTTTATACTATTTAATATAGTATATATTGTGAATTATTATTACAATTTAAAATAAAATAGATGTTTTCTATTTTAATATATTTTAAAATGTAATATATTCCTGTGATGGCAAAGCTGAATTTTTTTCATCATTCCTCCAGTCTTCCGTGACACATGATCCTTCAGAAATCATTCTAATATGCTGATTTGGTAAACATTTCTTATCATTATCAATGCTGAAAACAGTTTATTTAAGTAGCAGTTTATTTAAAATAGAAATCTTGTGTAACAAAGTAAAAGTCTGTCACTTTTGATCAGTTTAATGCATCCTTGCTGAATAATAGTATTAATGTATTTTTTGTCCAAATTTCAAGTTGTATAAATTAAGATTGTGAAATAGTATATTTAAAAAATTACATTAACATTATTTAATAAATTTAAATTATATGTTACCATATTTATTAGTGTGTATATTTGCATTTCTCACTATTTTTTAACCAAATTATCTTTTTGCAGATCATTAAAATGATCCTACAATGTGACAAATGAGTTATGAAAAGTTTGTAAATAGCCTGTTTATAATAATTATACCTGCATTACAAAGAAATGTAGTTTGAAGTACTTTTCAATTAAGTATAAGATATCAGGGCATCAACTGAAAGTTGATGAAACTTTCCTCTAAAACTGTTCACGTCTTTACTCAGGATGTCCTTTGGTCATATGTGTGGTGTCTATGACCTCGTCACTAAACAGCTATGGAGAGGCTGGCAAGTAAGTTACCATGGGTCATGGCAAAATCCAGTTTGAGGAGAAAAGATGACTTGTCTTACGTCATTTGTCCATCTTGTTTTATATTTCTCAGTTGCTGGCTGTCTCTGAAGAATGGGGCGATTTGGGCTTTTGTAGCCCCTGCTCTGTTTGTTATAATGGTAAGCAGCTGTTAATAAGGTGTGTGTAATGCACTACATTAGATGAGCATGACAGGAACACTTTTAATGTTGTAATCGCTGCCATCCAGGTGAACATTGGCATTTTGATAGCTGTGACACGGATCATATCCAGGATCAGCGCTGAAAACTACAAGGTTCACGGAGACGCCAACTCTGTTAAGTGAGTTTATCTGCTGTCATGATTGTAGTATCAGCCATTGTGCGTTTGCTTTTTTTGATATGCGTGGTTGTCTTTCTAGGCTTACGACTAAAGCGGTGGCGGTACTCTTGCCCATCCTGGGCATATCGTGGATCTTTGGGGTTCTGGCGGTGAATGACCACTCCCTGCTTTTCCAGTACATGTTTGCAGTGTTTAACTCACTACAGGTCAGGCATCACTACTGTGTAACATAACAGTTTCACCAGCAAGCTCATTGATTTTCACTTTCAGTTTACAGCCTCCAGAGTCAATAGCGCCTTCGCCAAACAATGACAGCTTTAAAAAAATATGGGGCATAACAATGTTTGAAATGACTTTGGACCTGGACTGACTTGTAAGAACTTTTGCATATGTGAATTGGAGCGCTTTCACAACATTTAGTGTTATCTGTTGTTTTCCTTTTATTCCTCAAAGGGGTTCTTCATATTCCTGTTTCACTGTCTGCTAAACTCCGAGGTAAGAGTGTGTTTGTGCAGCTGTGTCAGAAGTCTGTGTTGTATGTCGGGGAAAATGTCTGACGTAGCCGCAGCAAAGAGTACACTGCTGTAAATGATAGAGTTAAAGTGTGATCGCCATCTAGTGATGTTAATTTGATACTGCATTATGTGAATGCATTTATAGAGAGAGACTTTAAAACTATTGCAATGTCGTTTCCATATTAAAACAAGAGTGTATCAGTCATGCTGTTTGTTAACAGGTTTCATGTCTTGTTACTGCTCTACAGGTGAGGGCTGCTTTCAAACACAAAACCAAAGTGTGGACTTTAACCAGCAGCTCAATCCGCAACATCAACGTCAAACCTTTCAACTCCGACGTAGTGAGTAATTCCAGTTCTTTTCATTTTTACATTTGTATTGTTCATGACCAGTGAATTTAAACACACACTTATGAAAATGAATGACATGAATGTTTTTGGAAAATTATTTGCATATTATGTACAATAAAACACATTATAGTTTAAATGTATATTAAATGCAGTTAGTTGAACTTGAGAGTGCATTTTCGACCCACTGAAGTAGAACTTGAGTTCATCTTTTTGTAATTTTATAATTACTTCTGTTTACTTCTATTTGAAATGTGGATAATGATGTGGATAAAGTGCACTGCCAAATGTACTGACAAGCATTTATGGTGAACTAAAATGTTCTTAAATATCATTCCTAATATAACTTGCATCACGTATTTAAATATATTTGTAATTGCACTAGGGCTGTCAAATCGATTAATCATGATTAATTAATTGCATCAAAAATAAAAGTTTGTTTACATAATATATGTGTAAATCACACATTTTTTGATGAAGTTGCAGTTTAGAACATAAAAAGCTAACTTTTATTATAATATAACACACCACAGTACACTTAATCACATACTTTACAAGTGCTTTAGTATTAGTATTTTAGTAAGTGCTTTTAGTTAGTCAACTACTTCTTTAAAGCATGACAAAATATTACGAGTAAACATAATAGGAGTACTTAAAAGTAAAACGTGTAAGTTTACATTATTGCACAATACACTTTAAGTGACATTTTTTTAATCATTATTATATTAACTGCAAGTGAGGTAATTTAAAAATGTTTTTTTTTTATTTGAAATATACTACCAAGTGCACATTCAATACAAGTAAGCACACTTCTTTTTCACAAGGGTACTGGGACCCAAGCCTGTATTAATCTGGTTTTCTTTTGCAGATGAATGGAAACAAGGGCGGTGTGACTCCCACAAAGATGAACACATGGGACAAAAGCACCAACTCAGCCAACCGCATAGATTTGTCAGCAGTCTAATGGCTTCTGGTCCAAGCAGAGCAAGTGGACAACAGCATAGCATTTCTTATAGAACATGTGCCTTTCTATATATATCACATTTTAAATGGACTTCATATGATGAAATAGCTACAAACACTTGCAGCTGATTGTAGAATAGTTAACTCACAACACAAAGTTCTCTAATGTCAATTCCTCCTGCTGATGATCTCTCTTAACACAAACATAGGATGAAGACACACTGCCCGTTGTTGGGATGAAAGAGTTCATGGTTTGCTAATAATGTGGTGTGCTGAGGAAAACACACTAACTCTCACAGACAGTAGACTCTCCTGAGATACAGTACCTGTACTGTAACAGTATTTCCTTGCTTTGATTTTTTTGGACAACACACTAGACCTGTGCTACATTTGGACCACTGTTTGGCCGTCCTTTAAAAAGAGGAATCATCAAATACAAAGTCTGGAGTGTCTCAGCTTTAATGAGAACACTTTTTTGCAACCAGCCCGAGTGAAGTAGCAGCTTCTATTAATCCATGTCCATCTGTCCATTGGCTATGGCTTAAAATTCGACCTGGAAAAGAAGTACAATACTGGCGAAATTCTCTGGAGATCTTCCTCATTGTTGTATTGTTCCTCAATCTAGTATTGTAAATGGGACTTGTGTCTCAGTAACTGAACACCTAATTCATGCACAGTGCCAAATAGTTTTCTCATGTCATGATATATATCAGTTTGCGTCATTTCATAAAGGTGGACACTTCTGTGATGTATATAGCACAGACACACACAGCCGTGCGTAATTGTGTAATTGCGTAATTGTCTGTAATTGTGCCATCATAGACATATTTATTGGTACCAAAACAGGTCAGTGTATTATTAATGTGTGAACATATGCAGTATATCTTTAAATTATTGTCGTCGTCGTCGTCATGTTCCAACAAGACTTTGATACTGCTTGAAAGATCTTCTTATTCAGTATCATAATACTTATTTTCTCAACATTATAGCTTAATCAGCTATTGTATGTAGTTTATGAGTGAATGTCTTAGTGTTGATGCTCTCCGCCAAGAACAAATCGCAGAAGATACTTTGTTTTAGTACCAAAATTTCAAGAGTTTCTCCCAAATGAACATTTAAAGGCCAAGTGCACTTCTTGTCTGATTGTTATTTAATATTTGAAAATAACTGTTTATGCAGTGTCTCTCAATCAAGTGTGTCTTTAACCCATTCATGTGATGTTTTGCTTTTGAAAATGTTGACATTATCATCAGCAGGAACATAGAGTGATATAGTACACCATATACAATTGGATTTACACATTTTCAGATTACACATGCTTCAGAGGTATTAAATATGATCTCAGAACTCACACACAAATGGCCATAGCAGTGTTTTGAGATGATGCTGTAAAATATAGTGACTTTAAAGAGAAAGTGCCTTAGCTCTACAAATTCCAGTAAAGAGTGTTGTTCTTAAGTTTATAATGTGAGAAATCTTTCTGTGAAGTTTTTATTTTTATTCTGTTTTCTTGATTTATTCTGTTCTAATGCAAATGGATTTTTTTCACAGTTCTCTTTTATGCAAAATAAAACTTTTATTTAAGTCTGAAAACCGTACTGTGATATGACATACGTGCGTTGTACATATTTGTAAGTCCTATATTCCTGCACATCTCTTTTATAAGAGTGTCATTTATAAGAGGTCTGATTCTTAAGACAGACCTTGTCTGTGTTTAATTTTGAGGGTAAATCTGCGGAATTGATTTAATATAACCAAAATATTTACAAACTGCAGAAATCTATGGGCACAGGCTCTGTCACTGTTCGTTTCAAACATCATTTTCCTGATGTGAATTCCTAACAAACCCTTCCCATAATGCTGACTGTTGATTTACCAAGAGGATGGGGATATATGATGGATATTGATGAGCTTATTAAATGTGTTTTGTGAGTTTATGTTGGACAGGACCCCCTCTGTGAGTCCTTCATTAGGGTTTACTGTGAAGAAGGATTTCATATGGACAGTGAGGCATTGAAACCGTACCCATGCTGATTGTCTTCACATGTAAAATAAAAACTCATGACATTTTCATTGTATTTGCCACATTATATTTTAATGAAAGGCATTATGTAATATGCCCAAATTTAATAAAACGGTCTCTTTAGACATTGCTGCGTTTGAGTTTTAATTTACCGTTTTATGTCTTAAAAACATTACCATTTCCTTCTGCTTAAGCTTTGAGAATTCAGTACAAATTCACCGATAATACCATTCAGATAAAGGCGATTTCCAGGGTTTTTAGATTTCAAGTGTTTTTTTTTTCCTTCTCAGAAATTCTATTTTAACTTCCCTTACCAAAAAGTAGTATACTTCAAGTTTATTTTAGTAAGTATACTTAATTAAAGTTCAAGTATATTTTTAAGTATACTTTATGTAGTAAGTATACAAGTATACTTAAATGTCATTTTAAGTATATTTCTGAGAAGTACATAAAGCCCATTTCTGAGAAGTACATAACAAGTAGACTAAAAGTATACTTTCCTATTTTTAGTTTAAAAGAAGTATACTAATAGCACACTTGAATAAACTTCTTTTTCGTAAGGGTTCTGTTACCTCAGGAGGATGATGGTGGTCGTGTATGATTAAAAGTATCGTCAAAACGCTTGGGACGAAATATTATTGCAATTTACAATAATAGTCTAAATCTTAAAATGTATTCCTGTGATGGCAAAGCTGGATTTTCAGCATCATTACAGTCTTCAGTGTCACATGACCCTTCAGAAATCATTCTAATATGATTTACTCTTCAATAAACATTTCTTATTATTATCGTGTGCTGCTTAATATTTTTAAAATTTACTGACACTAAACATTTGAACGATAGTGTATCTAATACGTTGTGAACAGTGTTATAACACCCACAGAACTCAATATGGGAATGAGTGAAGAAAGAAACAGACCGCAGACAGTAGAAGGAAAAACAAACAGACAGGACTGAACATTAGTCTCACAACGTTTTACTGCTTTTATCGCCAAGACAGGACTGGAGAGAATGACGCTTGTTCTGCAGGAAGTGTCATCAAGGCTCATGTCAGAGTTGGTGATACACATTAAAAAGCTCTTACATGCTCGATGTCTCATAGATTTGGCCGATTACAGCGTGACCGGGTGGAGTTCGGTTGAGATACAAAAGCAGATTATACAGACTCATTGATTACGTTCACTGCAGATGACAGATGAAGCTCCCAAGCGGCTTTTTCAAATGTAAGTTTAAAGGAGTGCTGCTTATCAGCCACACGTGTTTTATGGGCAGAAGGGGAGCAGAATATGAATAATGATCGACCAGTATCATATATCATTAGGTTTGGGGTTGAGGTGTTTATATGCCAAACGTTCAATTTAATATTGTGAATGGTATAATAACCCAGGCAGAGTGCTCACATAATGCTCTTATTCATTCAGTGATGTAAACGTTATGTGGCGTCCAAAAGAGAAGACAATGACCAGGACTCCTTAATGTGATTTACTGGGAAAACGGCATGGAAAACTGTTCCTGATCCCGAAGTGGATCATTTGGGAACGCTGCCTCTTTTTAATGAACTCCTTACGGACTAAATTTCCTGTTACATGGATAAGGAAAAGATGCCATCAGTCTAATTCGTTCCAATTAAAACAAAAAGGCAGAGCAAAAACAATTAAAAACTACATTTCTAACTAGTCATGCATTTCACAAACCTAGGATTGTCTAGCCTGTCATTTAAATAGGCTTTAACAACACCGATATCTTAATAATAGCCTACATCTTTTTATCTTAAGACTGATAAATCACGATATCATACAACTTTTGGCTAGTACATGATTATCTATCAAAACTTAATGTTCAATCTCTGACTTGTTTCCAGAGAGTTCGTCGCTGCACTAAAAGAGTTTTGATTTGATTATTTTTAGGCTACATTGCATTTACTGTGATTAGTGTGTGCGAGTGTAATAATTCAATTTTACCACAAGAGGGCAATGTTGCCATGTCTAGATGGTCTTAAAAGAGGAAAAGTGCATCTTCTAGACTCGTGCTTCACAGGCAATTGCGCTTTTTGTATTATTATGCGATTTCATTATCTGATCACTTGAGGGTGGCTTGATAATGTTAGATTTATATGATCTTCTGACTGTGTCTTACTCTGTGATGTTGTGTAACTTTCTAATTTGCAAACAGACAATATAATTTAAATAAGTATGGGCACTTGGACAGGTTATATAACATTTGTTACCTTATACATGCATACATACAAACATATATACGTAGATAAATAAATAAATATGTTTGTTTATGGATTTGAATAGAATATAACAGGTTAATTATTCATTAATTTTACTGTTTTTAATCTGTAATTTATTAATTATGATAATGATGTTAATGTACATCATGATATAGGCTATTAATAATAATGAATAATTGCTGTTAAATTATTGTTATTATTATTATTAATTTTAATATTAGTAGTAGTAGTAGTGGTGGTAGTATTAGTAGTATATTAACTAATACACTATTGGCCAAAAGTTTGGAATAATCAATATTTTTTTTTTATGTTTTGAAAGAAGTCTCTTCTGCTCACCAAGGCTTGATTTATTTGATTAAAATACATTAAAACAATAATATTGTAAAACAGTATTACAACTTAAAATAACTGTTTTGTATTTTAAAATATTTTAAGAATATCATTTGTTCCTGTGATGGCAGAGCTGAATTTAATAAGAGCTGAATTACTTCAGTCTTCAGTGTCACATGATCCTTCAGAAATCATTTTAATATGCTGATTTGCTGCTCATACATATCTTATTATCAACGTTGAAAACAGTTTTTGCTTCTTAATGTTTTTTTGTTTTGTTTTGTTTTTTGTTTTGAATGGTTGTGTAAGTTAGGTTTTTAAACAGAGAGAGAAAAAAATGTATACTTTTATTCAGCAAGGATTCATTAACTTGATATTTGAGCTAGGCCTGTCTGTTCATCAACGAATCTTGAAAAATAAAGTGTCACAGTTTCTACCAAAATATTAAGCAGCAAAAGCTGTTTTCAATATTGATAATAATAAACGTTTCTTGAGCACCAAATCATATAATAGCATATTAGAATGATTTCTGGAGGATCATGTGACACTGAAGACTGTCTGCTGGATATTCAGCTTTGCATCACAGGAATAAATTACATTTTAAAATACATGACAAAAGTAAACATTTAAAATGTACAATATTACTGTTTTGTACTGTATTTTTGATTAAGCATATGTAGCCTTGGTGAGCATAAGAAACTTCTTTCAAAAAAATATTTTTGGCCAGTAGTGTGTATTTGTCCACAACATCAGCAGCTCACGAGGTTAACATTTTGACCCGGCGGCTCCTCGACATGCGCATGCGCACATCAAGCCACTGGCGTGCGGACAGAGCGCTAGTGCTCATGCGTGTAATGCACACGCAAGTTTCAAGCTTTGTTTGGCAAGTGACGACCAAAACAGCGCAGTATACGTCTCTGAACCCGAGGCTGTTTCTGACAGTTTCCAAATCTAATTTAGTACACTTTTGTACGCTTGGTGACATATTTTTGAACAAAGGGTTAACATAATACGATCAAGATGACAGTGACTTTGTTTTTATTAACAAGGTAGCGACTGCCGATCATGACCGAAGTGTCAGATTGTTTGGGTGCAAAGCAGCGGATGGGAAGCGACAGACGGGTACACACAGATCCCTCACACCCCGACCTCTCGCCTGTGGATTTACTGAGCAGATTTAAAGTCTATACGCGATGGAAAGCGTTGGAAAATTCGAGTTCAACAGGAAGGACTTGATAGGACACGGCGCTTTTGCTGTGGTGTTCAAAGGAAGACATAAACAGGTAACGCTAAGATGTACATTTCGGAATGTTGATGCCAGTTAAGCTGTATACTGCGGCTTTTTATGTGTGGAAAAAGTACTCTTCACGAGAGTCATAACTTAAATCGATGTCTTTATTCACAGAAACATGATTTTGAAGTGGCGGTGAAATGCATTAACAAGAAAAACCTCGCCAAATCACAGTCGCTCCTAGGAAAAGAAATCAGGATATTAAAGGTGAGCTTCGTAGTTACACTTTGGGTGCGTTTGCGTACGCACAAATTTGCTTGCTATACTTTTAATGTTATCTATTTAATTTAAATGAATGGTTTTGTTTATCTATTAAATATCCGCAGATATATAGTAAACAGTGCGAAACTCGACTTCTTGCTATCTGAAAGGCTATTTATATAAACAGTGTAAAGGGTTTAGCAAATATCACCAGCTCCTTATAGAAGCAATTGCATTGACTTCTGCTCACTAATATAGTGAATGTGTGTTTTCTCCAGGAGTTGAAACATGAGAACATTGTCAGTTTACTGGACTTTCAGGTATGTACCTACTAAGTACCTACTAATTGTTTGCTATAACTCGGGCAAATTTAGTTGTTCGAGGTGTATTTATAAGCCAGAGGTGTTATTTCAGGTGGTTTCTATTCTGTTGAAACATACAGCTTTACCATGTTACTAAAGATATGTATCGCATGGCTCAGTGTTGATGTTATGGGGACAGTTCTCTTCATCTGATTGGTTAAACGTTAAGCCCCGCCCCTGACGTCACGCCCTATGTGCAATCTATCAGTAGTTTCAGCCATAGTGAATAGATGTGGGCTTTATATGACTCACCATGAGTAATGATTTCATGTTGCATTCTCTTGCATCAGAAACAGTCGAATCATTTTCTAAATTTCAAGCTGGACACCATGATGTGGCTAAAGTACTAAAAGTAAACAGGCAAGAAACAATGGCAGCCGTGACAGATGTCTATATGTCTGTTGAAGTATACACCTGACACCTGTGCATGCATTAGCCAGCACCTGCCAGCCCAGCACACCCATTTAACTGCCTGTCTCTATCATTTGCATACAGAACAGATGTTGTCTGATGTAGGATACCCTTATCAATGTATCTTAATGAATAGAGGACAGGACTCCAGGCAGTCTGGCTGATCTGATAACAGGTGGTTGTCTCAGGTGTGGAGAGATTAAGAAACACAGCACATTGTGTTACACCTTCCATCCTGCGGTGTTGTGCCCTTGAGCGAGTATGACAAGTTTACTTCAGA